AAGCTTAGAGACCCAAAGGCACTGGTACTGATAAAAATAAGCTCACTCTTCTACTTTGAGGCAGCTAAAAAAACGTAATGCCCCTGCTAAATGTGGCTACCCAGACTTGCGCCAGAATGAATGTCAGGAAAGCATTTGTTTAGTTTCATTAGGTGGATATAGTGGGGCAAGATGCATTTAAGTAAAGGGAGCTACTGGCATTGACCCTCAAGCCCAAACAAGCACATATCCACAAATCTGCACCCAGTTATGTCCCCTATGCTAAGATCCTGGGAACTCATCTGCACTCAAATGAATTTTAAAGGCAGTGTCATGCTTTCCTTGTCAAAAATCCTGCCATGAGACACACTTTAGCTTAAAAAAAATAATTCATCATGTTTAACATAAAAATTAAGCCAAATCTCCAATAAACATTTTACTTTCTTTTCTTTGATACCTTCGTACTAAAAATTAACCTTCTGTTAAGAGCAATAAGCTTGTGTGCCTTTAAGAGCCAAGAAGGTAACATGAATGAAAAAGCAGGCCAGGTAACTGAAAATTGTTAATAGAAGCATAAATACAAGACATTGCTTGGTTTCCCTTTTACTCTGACCATAGAAACTGTGATACATGACAGTGTGCTTTATTACTGTGATAAAGCACAGTGATAAGTGGCAGCTGAAACCAGCCTTGCAGCAGGGGCAGCAAAGGGAGTGTTGAGCACTGTGACCCTGACCAAGATGGGCAGAAGGGAAAGGGCATTCCTAATCCAAGGCACACAGCACTGCTTAGCTCTCCATGCAAGTTCTGGGTTGCTAATTTTTGCTTTGTCCTAAGAACCTGTAAATCGAAATTTTAATGTGATCTTGGCTGAATGTTTTCTAAATTTTTAATTCTAGTAAAAAATACAAAACATAAATTTACCATCTTAACCATGTCTAAGTGTCCAGTTTCGGAGTGTTAAGTATACTCACACTATTGTGCAAACAATTACTAGAACTTTTTCATCTTGCAAAACAGAAACACTCTACACGTTAAACAAAAACTCCCATTTCACTCTTCCCCAGCCCCTGATAACCAGCATCCTGGTTTCTGTCTATGAATTTGACTATCTAGATACATCATATAAGTGGAATCATGCAATATTTTCCCTTTGTGTCTGGCTTATTTCACTTAGCATAAGGTCCTCAAGCTTCATCCATTTTGTAGCATGTGCCAAAATGTTCCTCCTTTTTAAGACTGAACAGTGTTTCATTGTATTCTATTGATTCTTGACAATGTATGTACACAGGACATTTTGCTTATCCACTTCTCCATGGACAGGCACTTGGGCTGCTTCTACCTCTTAGCTATTGTGAATAATGTTGCTATGAACATGGCAAGTATCTGCGCCAGGTCCTGCTTTTTTGTTTGCAATGAATTCACACTTTTTCAAAATACCCTGCAAATATTAAACAATTAGGAATAAGGATGTGATGAAATTGGAACCCTCATGCACTGCTGGGGGAGTGTACAATGGTCTATAGCAACTGCTATGGAAAACAGTGTAGAGGTTCCTTTAAAAAATTCAACAGAGTTACCATGAAATCCTGCAATTCCACTTCTGAGTATATACTCAAAAGAATTGAAAGCAGGATATTTGCTCACACAGATATGTGCACACTCCTTATTCACAGTAGCCAAGAGGCAGAAGCAGCCCAAATCTGGAATCATTTCCTGTTGAGGGGAGTTAATGAGCCGCATTCTGACAGAGCCTTGTGGACATCTATGTTTGTGTACAGGACAGTTCCACATTACAGACAATATGTGCCTCACTGAGGTTTGTGTAAGTACATCCTATAATGTTCACATAACAAAATCACCAGAACAGGTTTGTTACACAGGTAAACTAGTGTCATGGAGGTTTGTTGTACCTATTAGTTCATCACCCAGATATTAAGCCTGGCACCCATTAGTTGTTTTTCCTGATCCTCTCCCTCCTCCCATCCTCCACCCTCCAAAAGAGCCCAATGTGTGTTCATGAGTTCTCACCATTTAGCTCCCACTTATTATTGAGAGCCTGCAGTATTTGGTTTTCTGTTCCTGTGTTACTTTGCTAAGGATGATGACCTCCCACTCCATCTGTGTCCCTGCAAACAATATGATCTTGTTCTTTTTTATGGCTGCTTAGTATCTAAGGATGCATTTTTTAGAAGGTATCCCTGTCATTAAAAACACATGACTGCAATATGGAACTAACAATCTGTTGTTCACCTTTAATACTTATCAGACCAAACTGGAATGCAGGACAAGCTCCCAAGCAGATAGAGGAGATCAGTGCTTGCAATTCTCTGTCTCTTGTTCTGGCTCATAGGACATCACCATTCCCAAGAAATAGCACTTCCTGTGACAAAGGGAAGCCAGCATTTAGAAAAGTATGAAGGAACACATATATACAACTCCATTTGGGGAAGGCTATAGGAAAAAGACCTGCTTTTGATTTGATGGGCTGTGCTTATAGAAAAGAGTTTTGGATCTTTAACTCATTCTTCCTTTATAAGGTAGCCACGTACGCAGTTAGGCCTCTTGGAGATACACTGGACAGTGTCACTGATGCCTGTGATTACAGCACACTGAAGGGATTAAATCATAGAAATAATGCCCAATTCTGGAAAAATGAGATTGCAAATAGTATTGTCTTTTCTTACTGGGGTCGGTGCTATTGTATACAGCTTGTCATAGGCAGTCCCCAGGCAATTTTGCATGGCAGAGGAGCCTCTTCGCTGTTGAAAGAAAGGAGGGAGGGAAGAGGGGAGAGAAGGAAGGAAAGAAGAAAGGAAGTAAGGAAGGAAGGAAGGAAGGAAGGAAGGAAGGAAGGAAGGAAGGAAGGAAGGACCAACCTAATATAAGTGAGGCATGTGGAAAGTGCTTTATGTGTACTATTTTATTTATTCAGTACTTACAACAATAGAGATGAGACAGAGGTTCTCATCTCTTTTTTACAGAAGAGAAAACTAACTCAGAAAGGTTAACTAACTTGTCCAAGTCATACATCTAATAAGTAGTTGGTGTGAGAGTCAAAACTAAGCTAAGCCTCTTTGCACAGCACTTTCTTTGCTGAGCCGGTTGTTGGATCTTTAGCAGATATAAACAAAACCAAGGAAGGAAGGAAGATTGTAATCTCTAGTACAGGAAAGCACAAAAATACATATACATCCCAAAAGCAGTACAAGGGGCTTGTTTGGTAACAGTAGTTTCCCGAAGATTATGCTTTCTGCAGAAAACACGTTATCCCACTTGTTTCACCCTTCAGCTATTTAGAACAGCTGCCATGGAAGTTCCCTTTAGGCTAGAAACTGCCTTCAAGAAAGAGGCCACAAAATGGACGTTGATAGTCCGTTCATCCAGGTGGAATTCACTATTCACTCATATTGAATGGTTAGAAAAAAGTCTTTTTATGATATGCCCAGATCATCTGGTTTCGTTGTCGTTGTTTTTGTTTGGTTTTGTTTGCAGAAACCATACATGAGTTGAGGTTTTTTGTTTTGTTTTGTTTTGTTTGATTAGCCAGGGTAAGAGGACTATGGTTGGCAAAGGAGGAGTTCGATGTGTAAAAATAGGTGCAAGCTTCTGTCAGGAAAATGTTCATTTTACTTCAATTTCAAGCACGTTGAGGTGTCTGACCCATTACCAACAGAATCTGGTAACCTCCTTTTTCAAAAAGCCCAATTTCACGTGATGGCTCAACTATTCCTTCATAGAAAACTATGTACTTTAGTTTTACTCTACCGTGGGTAATATGATTTCATGGCCCTTTTTAACTTTCTATCAGCAAACAATGTGGCAGTACAAAGGATCATCCCAAAACTGTAAAGACTTAGGATAATTTTATTGCTCTTGAAACATGTTCTCCAAACATATGTTTAGGGCAAAATCTGGTAAGGTACAGGCTAAGAACTCATTTTGCTCTCAAGACTACTTTGAGTGGCAATAAAACAACATACTTAACCGAAGTGCTGCTTTGCTTGTGCCAGGTATTATCCATTCATAGTGCAGCTTCATGAAATCATCCAGGGCTTCAGAGCTGAATGCATGTGGCTACCTCATTGCTTTGAAATCAGTGGCATTCTAATCTGGTGGGATAGTTTTACCAGTGATGTCATCGGAACATGTTTGCTTATTTATACATACTTCTCCTAGGAAGAACGGTGTTTGTGATGGTACCTTGAAATGTAGAGTTTGAGCTCATAAAATCAAATCACATTTCAGCAAGACTTTTTCATGATTGTTCCTCATTCCATTGTTGTGAATTTTAAAAACCGAAGCAACATAAATAAATTTTGCTTATGATATTAGGTTAACCAATTCAGAATTGCAATCTGTCTCCCTTAGGTATTTATAAAATTATTTCTTTAGACATATTTATAATTATTTCTTTAGACATACTTATATTGGATTTGATTTAATATAGATATGGTTATTAGATTTTATTACCTAGAAAAAAATCCCGAGATAATTTTCCCAAAATTAAGCCTGTAGTTTCGCAAAAATTATAGTAAGAAAATCTATATGTGTGTGCATGGTAGAAACTTCTTCAGCAGTGGAGGGATTATATTAATATGCCCTGCAATGTCATGTGGCATAGCAGTGTCATTTAAATTAGGAATTTTTAAAAATTCTTCAACCTTTTCTAAACCCAATTCCTAGTAGTTTCAATGAGATGTTTGTCTGTCTCAATAAATCATGTATAAGTGGACTTAAAAAAAAATTTCAGAACTCCTTTTTCCCAAGAACTTCTCTCCACTGCATGCATTACTGTTTCTTCTTTTTGTATCATGAGCGTGAATTATTTTCATGAATCTTGGCTGTAGCCAAGGTAACCTGAGCTTGCTTTTCATTTCTAATAATGATGTCCTGTATAATAATAGTTATAATAATAATTATTATTATTATTATACTTTCCCCTCAGTAGAAGAGTGACTGGACCAATCCAAAAAGAATGAACCTCTTTTTTCTCTGATTCCCATTTTCTTCCATTGTAGATTGGATTTGAGGCTCCTCCCCTCCAGGGACAGGCTGCAGCTCCAGCAAGTGGCAGTGGAGCTGATTCTGAGCCAGCTCGCCATATCTTCTCCTTTTCCTGGTTGAACTCCCTAAATGAATGATGTTCATTCCAACTGCTGCCCCTCTGTCTGCCTGGCTGAGATTCACATGGGCAGCAGGGAGCCCAAGTGAAATTCATATTATGCAGATGATGAAAGGGACCTCTGAACAGAATTTCTGCAAAAATACCCAAAACTGTAATTCCAGATGACTTATCAAACATATTGAGGGGAAAGAATATTTTGAGAAAATAGTTGGAGAAAGCACTGGAAAAAATAAACTTGATCTTATGCAAATCTTTTATTGTGTGGAAAACATTGTGAAGAGTGTGTAGGTATGGTACATGTGTGTGTCAGTAACAAGTGGCAAATGTTGAAAAAAGCGGTCACTATGCTCTCGTCTCTAATAGGCGCTGACTTTTTGTTATTATATTATAGTAGCTCTCATTTCCTTTACTCTTTTAACAGTGCAGGTGGTCAGTAAAAATCAGTATCAATTCAGAAGTGACTGATTTATCAATATATGGACAAAAAGTAAATCCTTGACCAAAGCTATACAATGTTTCACAAAGTTTTCCTTTTTTGCATAAAAGATGTCACTGGATGTATATTCAGAAATGTTCTTTGAATTTGGTGACACTTTCATAGTCCAGAAGGATGAAGGCCTGGGACATCTCTTGAGATGTTTTTCTAATGTTAGTTTTAGATTTTCATAGATTAGGCACTTTAGTTGGAAAAAATCTTCCAGCAAGAGCTGTCTAGTTTCTCTTGTATTCACTGTGGCACCCATCTGGTAAACTGCAGAACAACTACATGTATTTAAATATATATACACACACATCACATGTTAAATATATATATATTTAAATCATGCTTTGTTAATATTTGTCCAACCATAATGCCTCCTTCATAAGTGTAACTTTGCTCTATATGAACTCTTAAATAAACGATGTTTTTAAAAGCTTCGTCTTATAATGATTTATTCAGTGTTCTGTGTTATCTTATTAATTCATTAGTTAAGTGTACTTCAAGGATCCCAGATAAGAAGCATCTTTATACAGACAAATTAATTTTGAAGTATTAAGCATTTGATTGAATTTTTAAAGCTATAAATAAACTACCAAAGGCGAATGCACTGGAAAACTAATTAAATGTGCTGTTTACTTTTAGAAGTGAATAATGATAGTTCATATTCCTAAGCATAAAAGTGATTAGGGTTGGCATAGGCATAAATGTGGAGGATATTTGTGTAAATATTAAAGTCAAAATGTAAGAAAACTTTTCCTTTGTGACATTTTATAATGACTAAATTCAGTTGTCTTAAGTGGAGATGCTCTCAAGTTTCTCTTGTTAAAAGTAATCACTGGAAAACAACTTAGAAAAAATTGTTTTATGGTACCAAAGTAGTAGTTTAACAGAGTGAGTCTTTCTTATAGAAAAAGAATGCAGCATTTTGGCCATATAGTTTGGAGGAATTTCTGCCTCGACACTTCTCCCTTCCTTTCATCTTTTTCCCACTCTCTCCAATTATTTCACATATTTTATTTCACATATTTTAATTGATCAGGGCTAAATGTTATTTCCATTACGAAATGATCTTCCTTTTAGAATTACGATGTTTTAGAGCTACTGGGAGCAAATTATTGAATTATTTCACTCAACCTCAGAGAAGCAGTCCATGGCACAGAGATGAGCCCAATGTGATTGAAGGGTCTGTGTGGGCCACTGACAAATATTTGTATTTTTAGTAGGAAAATGTAATGCAGGACGTTTTTTTGTTTTTTTCTGGTGCTGAAGACAATTTGGAGGAAGCTAAGAGATGAGAGTATTTCAAGTGTATGAGCACTGAAGAGAAAAAATAAAGTCATGATTACCTTTGCAGCTTTTATTAAAAATATAAATATTCAAGATTCTCTTACACAACCAAACTGACCAAGGACTGGAAAGATGTTTTATTACTGAAACGTTTACAGGAAAAAGTTGTTTCAAAGAGCTAACAGATTTAGTCTTACCCACCCAAGAGAATGGCATTCTCTTTGGCTCAGACCACAACAAAAACACCTGGGTGACTTCTGTCTGCTTTTTCAAACCAAACATTTTCTCCCACGTCCACATTCCCTTTAAAATACCACTAAAAACACCTGGAAATGGAAACCAAACACAGACAAAACGAATAACATTGTGTTATTACTGCACGTGAATACACTTTGTGCATGCTAAGTAAAGGGTATAGGCTCTCTCCCTCTCTCTCTCCATGTTTCAAGCTATATAAAAATAAACAAATGGCATCAGAGCAGCGCTATCTTACAGAATACTGTTTTTTAAATTTTTTTATTTTTGTGCTAAATGCAGAATCTTTTTGGCCAAACGCACCGTTTCATTTCCCAATAATCTCCATGAGTTTCCTGTTGCTGTGAGCTTGCTGCGCTAACTGCTCGGCCCTGGCCATTTCCAAGACTTCCCGGAGGAGGTGGAAGGTGAGATCCAGGGAGATGGGAGGCTCCTCGGACCGCCTCTCCCTCTCCGGTGCCTCCTGGTGGCCGCCGAGGGCTTTCTCGGAGCCGCGCTCCGCGAGAGCCGCGGGGCTGTCGAGCGAGCGCCGAGGCAGCAGCAGCTGCTGCAGCAACACGCGGAAAAAGTTGGCGGCCGCCTGCTCCTGCGAAAGGCGGCTGCCACTGCCGCCGGCTAGGAGCGAGGAGGCGGGCGAGAGGGGAGCAGCCGGGCTCTTGTTGAGGTTCCCCAGGCGGAGGAAGTACTCCTCTCCCATGCGGAGCAGGACCGGCCGAGCCTGCGGCTGCTGGGGCTGCTCGGACTGCGGCGGCGGCGGCTGGAAGAAATCCAGGGGCTGAGGGTACTGCGGCGCCTGCCGGCCTCCCGGGACCGGCCCGACGCCCAGGCGCGCCCTGCATGGCGGGCAGGGCAGGAGAGCCACCAGCAGGACGCCTGCGGACACGAGCAGCGGCAGCCGCATGTTAGGGGCTCTCACTACGGCACAGAGGTGGGCGGAGGGCGGAATGAGAGAGGGGAAGAGAGAAAGAAGAGTTGGTCAGAGTTCGCTCAACTGGGAGGTGCACACGAGGTCTTCCTACAGTACTCCCTTAGACGTGCCGGGCTCCGGCCTCAGGGCTTCGTGTGGGCGCTGTCCGCGGTGCTGAAGAGTCTGGGGAGCGGGGAGAGGGGAACCTGCAGGGCTCCGCACCTAAGCTCACGCCCTGGCCGGGCAGGAATGACCCTTCTTTCTAGACTCTGAAGGGACGGTACCTGAGTCCTCTTCCTAATCCTCAAAACTAATTTTCCAGAGCAGAGATAAGAGCCACGGATTTAAGATCCCACCCGCGCTGACCACCTCCCTTCCAGATATTTCAGCATTTTCTTCCAAACTGAGAACAACCCTCTGGTCCTCCCTCTGCACCCCTGCCCTTTCTACCTTCTCTCGGGGGTCAGGATAGAAGCAGGTGGGGGTGCTCCTTTACACAGCCAGAGAGGAGCAACTGGCAGCACAGGTAGCGAAGAGCAGCCGTCTAAGTTTGCTTTTGCCACATCCCAGATACTACTGGAATCTTAAGGACCAGTCCGCGAACACGCGCACACACACACCGCACGCGCGCGCGCGCATACACAAACACACACGCATACGCACACACACATGCATACACATGCACACAGGCAGGGGCAGGCAGGGGCAACTGGCTCCGCCACGCATCTCGCGGCAGCTCAGGCAGCGCGAAGTTGGTGGCGCGCTCCGTCCAGGCGCTCCCTACCTTCCCAGGCGCTTCGCAGGTGAGCCGGGTGCTGCGGCCTCTCTGCAGAGGGACGTCTCCGGGGCTTTCTCTGGAGGTTGTCTTCCCTTCTCCTTTCTGTTCCTACTGTCTTTTTTCTTTCCCTCCTCTTTCCCCTCAGTCTCTCAATGGACTTGGTCTCCTAGTTTCTCCACTCCAGAGCTTGGAGTGGGATTTTATAGTGTCGACCCTCTTCAGAAACCACGCAGCATTTGCCTAATAAGCTGACGCTCTCTTGACAGCTCGATTGCGTGCTGCCTCTGCTCCTGCATAAATCATAGGGCCCTGCCAAGGAGCGAGGGGCAGAATTTTGCTATCTCAACACTGAATCTCACATCCAATTATATCAACAGATATTTATCGCCTCTTGGTGACGTCAACGAGCCCTAAAATGGAAGGGCTTCTTATGACTTGTCCATTGACAAAAATTCTTGAATGAGATTTCCCAAGTGTGAAAACATATTGACCTCTTACTATGAGAGGCCAAATTAGGAGTGTGCAAAGAGACAAAGAATGGGAGGAGGAAAGGGAAGTGGGAAGGAAGGGAGTTCTCCCAGTGCAGCCCTGCCAGGAAAGCAGCAGCCGGTTGGAGAGTGTGGATCTGGATGTCCCATCTCCTAACCTCCCTGACCAGGTGTCTCTGACACCTCAGTATCTAATAATAACCCTTTGCTAGAGAGAGAGTCCCACCATCTTTCTGCCTGGAAAAGAATGAAGCATCAGGAAAAGGGTGTGCAGGAACCTTTTAAATGTCTATCTGCTTTTTTCTCCCAAGAGCAAACACATAAAGGAGTTATGAGTCTGCAGAAGCAAGACCAATAAGTCTCTTAAAATGCAGTTCAAGTTTTTTAAATGATGACAAGAGCTACTCCCATGGCGAAGGGACACAAACCAGGGTCAGTAAGGGGTGCAGCAAAGATTTTACATTCTCTCAGAAACTCCCTGCCCCTTCTTTGTCTCTCCTTTCACAATTGAATATTAATTGTGGACTTACTTTTCTATTCCCAAACTAAAGAGAGAGAGAAGGCCAGTGAGAGATGCATGAGTGAAACAAGCTTTACTTATACAATGCAAACCCAATGAGAGGCATCCATTCTAACTTCCTAATCTATGTGGAAAAAGGCTTAAACTGCTCGACTACAGGACTAAATCAGTTACATGTTTTCATTGATCAATATTGAGTCTGTAAAGAAGTAATCTCATTCATTTCACCTCCAGATACTAGCAGCATCCATAATAGTATCCATATCTGGGCCACCCAGGTTGGTTCCTTTTAATCCTTTCTTATTCCAAATGCAAATGTGCTGCATATGAGCCTGTTAAATAAATAAATGCTCTCTGATATTTCACAGAATGGAATGGAATGCTAAGCCTGTAAAACTACACTCAAGTTTTGAATTAAATTGACACTATCATATAGGTAGGAGGCAGTTACCTCCTACCTATATGATTCTGCAATTCAAACTGCAATTTCAAATTCCTGTGCCTGTGATTCAATTCAGCTTCCAGATAA